GTGTGTGTGTGTGTGTGTGTGTGTGTGTGTGTGTGTAAGACCGAAATTAGTTATCGATACTAAGCGATGCCAATTACTTTACCCGAAACAAAGAAAGGGAAAAACGACTTGCTGTTCCAATGTCAGATATTCTCGCTATATCAGTGCTGAGTATTAAATAAGCTCGATGTGCAGCCTATAGAAAATCTTGGGATTTTCCAAGGGTATCAACCGATATGCTAGAACAATTGGAGTTGTACTAGCGTGGGGGGTGCATTCTGGCACATTACATCAAAGATCTTACTCTATTAGATGGTTCACTCCTCTCTTTTATCCTTTTTTTTTTTAAAGCATCATCAAAATCACGGTGGCGCCCTCTGCTGAAAAAAACCCGCGGTAAGGGGGGGGGGGATAAGCTTAGAATGAATGTACCAAAAAATGAAGCTCCTGTGGGCTTTTAAAAGTTGTTTATAGGCTTTTTAGAGTTCAATCTATAGGTGCCACAGCTCACCGCTCTTCGGAGACCGATGAACAGCTGCCGCAGTCGATCTGCTTGCGCAAGGGAGTGCTATTCCTATTCTTTTCTCGACAAACGAAAGAGAGCTTCAAAGCAGCGACTGTAGCGCCATCGGAAGATAAACGCGTTTGGCCGTGGACGCTTTTTTGACTCAGTGAACCTTCTTGTAGAGTAGGGCTGGGCAATGAGTCGCTTTAGCAAAATCCGGATACTATCTTAATGCACCTTTTCGGTAAATAATATGATATGAACCGCTTCGGCAACTTTGGTTAGAACCACTTCGACAAGCGGGAAGCATCATTTCAACAAATGGGTGCACCCACTTCGGCAAACGCGTCAGGAAAAAAGAGAGTTAAGAGTCTGAATTCGGATAATATCTTATTGAGGATTATCCTATTATCCGGATATTTATCCGGATTTTGCCCACCTCTATTGTAGAGTAAGATCTTTGCTAACACTAACCACTAGTATAATTTGACCTACATGCTGTCATGTAAAAGAAAAGACTATCTTTGATTTTATTATTCTGAAGTATTTAAAAGATTAGAAAATACATTATAATTTTATATTCCATAGAAACGTAAAAGTTCTATTGGCATTTTTCATCTGAACTAATATGGAGGCAAATCAGATTGTATTTAAGACGGCTCGGTTTCTATGACACACGGATGATAGTTGTAAGGCATCATGGTGAAATCAGGCGCTCGTCAAAATAATGAAATCGAAGAAAAAAGCATTTCCCACCAGTTTGGTAATTTTTATCGAAAATTTGCTTTTTAGCTTAACACCTTTTATGTTCATGCGAATACACATTTCCAGGTGAATTTTACTGAAAAGCCTTATACAATTGTAAATAATATGTAATTTTAAGTTTTCAAGGACTCTTAAGCTATTGAAGTTACCAAATTTTGGCGGCCATTTTCTCATTGATTTAACCTCTGAAACCAGGTTACCCCACCTTCTTCAATCGCAAATACCTGTATCTCGAATTCTATTCAGCTAAACGGATGTTTATTTCATTGAAAGCAAGGCAAATAACTCAGCTTAATTTAGATGATATCAATAACTCCATATGCCCCAAATTTGACGAGCGCCTGATTTCACTGCGTTGTGACACATATTAATCATACAGAGCGTGGTAAAAAATTCGTGGCCCAACTTCTCCTCAAATATCTCTTTAACGGGTGAATCAATGTCACCCAAACAGCACCTTGTGTCAATTTGTCTTAACTTAATCAATATCTTTCAACAACAATGGTGGCTAGATTTTTAAAATTAATTCCTTCATAAATTTATACAAAATACTAGAAATCTCAGTCACACGTAAAATAGGATTGATCAGAGCACTTCCCGTTTCTCTCACACATTTTGCATTTGCATTTTGCCTATGTAACAGCTCACCCATGATACTTTTTAGT